CATTTGACTGCCTGCGTGGCAGACAGAAAATTTTCTGCACGTGCAGACAGATTTATCTGTAATTTTATTTTTTTTAAAAATGATTTTTTTAAAATTAATTATAGGCGCAGTGTCAGAGACTTCCTTGCTATTTTTGGAGCAGCTATTGTTAGATGCTTGGAGATTTTGGACTAAAGAATTAGATTAAATTTTGGGTTTTAGTCCAATTTATTTATTTCTTGAGTCTTTTAGGGTCACAAATAATTATTATTTTTATCGCTTTATGAATACTTTAAATTATTGTTTAAAATATTGTCATTCTTGATATCATGACGTATAGATTTATTTATGATATTGCTCGTGATACTATGAATAGGATGTATATCATTTAACACGAATTTTTCTTTGATTAATTTAATTTAAATTATTTTTTTTCGAATAGAAAAATCGTAATAATTAAACTGTATATTAATTTAATTAATATGAACAGTTGGTAATTGTTTCAATTAAAATCCGTCATTTTAAAATATTGAGTGGGAGAGGGTGTTTATTTAAATAAAAACGCACGGTCTCCTTTGGTCAGTCCATAAGCAAAGTAACACGCTTGACTTGTGCCGGTAATGCAATAGACTCCCTACAGGAGGGCCGCATGATTCAAGTTGCTTGATTGGATTTCTTTATGATAAAATCGTCTAAATATAATATAATTTATAATTATCCTATAGATTTAGAAATTATTTTCAAGTGTTTAGAGATTGAGACAAATGTTGTACACTCAAATCAAAATTGTCTATGAACCTCCTATAGAGGCTCTCGTCTATAATTTTGGTGACCAAATATAATGATGCTAGACTTAATATAGACATTTATTGTTAAATATAATTTGTTTAAGTGGGAGGGTCTCAACTTGATTAGTAGACACATTACCCTTTCCTATAGAAAGGGATGTTGGATCACAGAGATCAAGTCATCGTTGCATTATTGTAGTTAGTTGGATCTACACATGCATTCATGCATCATATGCTAAATTGTCATTTGCTGCTCAATTTTAATATGCAATAAATTGTTATTTTTTAGCAAAATGTCTCTTAGCACTTTTTCCGTTATTCTAAAATAAAACCAGCTTGTCGGGGATAACTATGTGGATTGGAAACGTAATTTGATGTTTGTGCTTATTGTCGAAAAACTTGATTTTGTGCTCGAAGAAGAATGTCTCGAGTAACCTATTGAGACTACAAGCAAGTCCAAGAGGGTTGCGTATGATAAGTGGATCGCTGCTGACAAGATGGCTCGTTGTTACATTTTGGCATCCATGTCAAACGTATTACAGCAAAAGCTTGAAAGTCAGGAAACCTCTTATGACATACTAGAAAGCCTGAAGGGCATGTTTGGACATCAAAGTAGGAGGGCTCGCTTTGAGGCTATTCGTACCTTACAGAACATCCGCATGAAACCTGGAACGCCTATGAAGGATCATATGTTGACTATAATTGCACACTTCAACGTGGCAGAGAGTTTGGGTACAACCATTGATCAGGAAACTCAAGTTGATATGGTATTGAATTCTTTATCTGATATGTTTTCACAGTTTACTGTGAACTATTACTTGTACAAGATGAATATGCCATTAACTAAGTTGATGAATGAGTTGCAAAATGTGGAAAGTGGTCTCAAGGGTAAGGGTGGCCATGCTCATGCGACAATTGCTGGCACATCTAGCTCCAAGCTGAAAGGCAGAGTTGGCAAGAAGAGGAAGAGATCTAACAAGAAGTCAGGAAGCAACAAAAAGTCCAAATCAGATGGAACGCCGAAAGGCAAGTGTTTCCACTGTGGTCGTAAAGGACACTGGAAGAAAAACTGCCCTGATGCACTAGCTAAAAAGCTGGGTATTGGTGAGTTTTTTATTACTGAGTCATGTTTGGTGGTTGATTCTAAAAATTCCTGGGTTGTAGACTCTGGAGCCACTAATCATATATGCATGTCTATGCAGGTGCTTCATGAGAGCAAAAGACTCAATGAAGGCCAGTTTAAAATTACTGTCGGTACATGAGCTATAGTTTCAACAAGAGTAGTAGGAGTAGTTTACTTTTATTTCAATAGTGATAGGCGTTTAATTCTTAAAAACTGTTATTATGTCCCGTGGATGAAGCGGAATTTGATTTTTGTTTCTTGTTTAATAGGACAAGGTTATTCTGTAAACTGTGCGCATGATGCGCTTTATATTTTAAAGAATAAAGCTCCTATTTGTGCTGGATATTTGGTGAATGATTTTTATATTTTAAATTGTGCCACAAATGAAATAAATGTTACTTCTGCAAACCATGAACGAATGTCTAACCATACTAGTGATACTTATTTATGGCATCTTAGAATTGGACATATTAACCTTAACAAGATACAAAGATTGGCTAGAGAAGGTTCACTTAACACACTTAAGGTCGAATCATTGCCAGATTGTGATTCTTGTTTGGAGGGTAAAATGACCAAGAGATCCTTTCTAGTAAAAGGACATAGAGCCAAAGAAGTATTAGAACGAAGTCATTATGATGTATGTGGACCCATGAATACACATGCGAGAGGGGGTTATGAGTATTTTATCACTTTTACCGATAATTACTCTA